CTAAGCGCGGGGACTCGCCGCCCTCCAGGTCAGGCGCCAAGCTTCGGGGCGGCCAGGGCTCCGGCTTCCGCGCCCCCCTGAGATCCGCGCAGTCGGGCGCTTCCCCACCCGGGACCGGACCTCGGAGCCTTCTTGCCGAGCCTGAGCGCCAACTTCGCCAGGAACGTCCCTAACTCCAGGGCACCCTGCGGGGAGAGAGGGCGCTGCTGCGGGGCACAAGCCGAGAGGACGCGCCGCTGGCGGAGAAGCCAGCATCCGCGGGGTCGCTCGGGCGCCCCTGAGTGGGCAGCAGCGGCAGCAGACCTCTCTCCCGGGAGTTCCGGACCTGCCAGCGCTGGGGATTCCTCCCGGGCAGGCGCTCGCCCTCTCTTTTATGGTAAGTGTTCTCCAGCTCCCGCTAAAGGGTGATTGCCGGCCGGCACCGGTCACACCCGGTGCTCTTGGGGTCCCTCTGGTCGCGGTCCGCGGGAATGTCTCTGCGAATTGGGCAGTTCAAGCTGCTTGGTTTGGGACGAGCGTTGAGGCCAACCTCTGGTACTGAGGGTTTGAAACCCGCTGCTTCTCTGTGTAGTGGAGACAACACAAAAAATTGCTCCCGGAGTCACCTGGCTATGTTCGTTCCTATATCCGTCACTCTCTGGGGTGACCTTGGGCCAAGTACCACAACCTCGGTCTCCTCATCCGGAAGATGGGGGTGATAACTGTGCCCCTTTTACTAGTGTGTTGGAAGGAACTGCAGGGTGGTGCGGAGACTTGCGCCTGGCACTCAGAAAGCATTAGCTAGCGTTAATATTAGCCTTGTGAGCTCCAGTACATCATCCAACTTCCCGGAGCTGCAGCAGCTGCCTCATCTGTGTGACGAGGACAGTAATTTCTCGGGGTCTGCTCCTCGCTGCGGAAGTAAAGCGCCTCTCACTCACTAGGCTCTGGTGGTGATTCTTGGGGTTTATCTCCGATGCTGGGGCAGCGATGACTGACTGACTGACTGCTCCGCTCTAACAGAGCGCCTCGCGGTTGGTCCCCAGCCTGGCTGGGAGATAAACTTGGAGAGAATAGGGAGCTCAGGGAGCCCTGGGCGAGGGGCTACGGGAAGCAGGGAGGAAGCCAATGCCCCGAGTGTGGTAAATATGTCCACTCTGTTTGAGTCAGGAAAAACAAGGGACCCCAGACCTCTGGCTGGTGAGGTCCAGGAAGTGTGGTTCCCACCGCCCGGTGGCCAAGCGCCGGCTGCTGAGCCAAGAATAGAGAAGAGGGCGTATTTGTGTGACTGTCTCTAGAACTCTCGGCGCTGCAATCCTGGGCTTGGATTCGAATTGTGCTTCCAGCACCAGCCCGTGGGTGTGACCTTGAGCCGGTTCTCTAAGGTCCCCAGCACTCCAGGGTTTGGGTGTGAATTCGTCCTCTTATCTTCCCTCTCGTCTGCCCCAAACAGTTGTTGAGCCTATCTAGATCTGGAAGAGATGAAGTTCATTCTTCCCACCCTGCCCTGTGGGAAGTGATCCGTGCACTCACTCACCTCTGAGTCTTCCGGTCTGTTTCCTCACTTTCAACTCTGTCTTTCAACTGAAGCTTGCAGTTTCTGTTACTCAGGCTGATGGGAGAATCCTTCAGCCTCTTCTCACCAGTCCCTTTCCCAAACCATTCAGTATTGATTTAGGGCTGCAGATGAACCCACTTTATAGAAAACCCAAATGTCAAAAGTGTGATATAAATAAACTTTCTTTACAGGAGGCCGCAGTTCTTGAGACCGCGCCCCCCCCCCCATGTTTAAACTTCCATAGCAGGGACGGTAAAAAGAATTTAAGCCTTTGCAAGCTGTAAACAAAATTAGATTCACCAGTCATACCACCCAAATATCTCTTCAGTTTGCATTTCTCTTTGATTTTAAAGACTGATACATTCAGTGACATAGACATAAAATCTGCCTGTGGGGGAGGGGCGAGTAGTACTTGCCAGAAGCAGTCAAAAGACATGACCGACTGGGAAACGAATTGCTACTTACTGCAAAGGCTTCATATCTTCCAATTTGTAACAGATTTGGGGTGTGTGTGCTGGAGGCTTTGTGTGTGCTAGACTAGTGTTCCACCCCTGAGCTGTAGCCTCAGCAGAAAGTGTGTAAGGAATCTTCAAGACAAGCAAGCACCCCAAAGGACAAAGACTACAGGCAACTCACGCACACAGAGTGAAACAGAAATAACACGAAAACCTATATGCCTTGCCTCACTCAATAAGAAAAATGTGTACGAAAGCCCTAAGATTCAATTGTTCAGACATCAGAACAGCAAATAGTTATAACCATTCACCAGTAGGAAACCTTTATCCTTAAAAATATAAACAGACCAAATTCCTCCCTAGTTAGAACTTCCTCAACGCTGCCAGGAGTAAAGGCTGAGTTTGCCCTCTAGGCCTGGCTGCCACTGGCACTACCTTCTTTTTCATCGTTTGTCTCCCCCACCCCTGAGACCCTGACATAAGATCTTGGGTTTGCTCCAACACTCCCAGGGCTTATTCCTCTCCTGACTCCCACTCCCACCCCACCCTACCCCAGTTGGTCACAGGACCAGAACCTTGTCATCCTTCATGGAAGCCTGTCCTGGAGACTTCATTCATGTGCCAGGATGTGGCTATGACTAAGGCTTAGGCCCGAGGCAAGGTCTTTGCCTCTGGAGGAACAGGCCCAGTGAAACTCAACATGCTCCAGTTTGTTAATTTTTTTTCTAAGCTGTCTGGCTCATTGCCACACATCGGTGCTCCTGAAAGGGCCCTCCTCTGTTGGCACGATAACAAAAGATCTCCAGGAGCTCCCTAGATAGAACAAGAAACTGGATGTGGAAAAATCAGGAGGGTAGAAGGACCTTGCTCCAAGTCATCAGAAGTCTTTCTCGGTAATCATTAAAAAAAAAAAAAAAAAAGGCACTTAATGTATGCACTTAACTTGTGTGAGCATGATCGTTCATACTTGGCAAAAAGATCAATAATAAAAAATTAAAAAATCTAGCAGCACATTTAAATAAAACATGGTCCCTACATGAGCTGACTGACTTTCCTGCTGCGGCTCAGTTACAGGCGTCTGTTCTGAGGCTGCAGGAAGCAGCTGTCTGGCCCATCCTTTGGGAAAGACCCCAAATGAGCTGTCATAAACTTTGTGGAGTGTTGATTGCATGGGATTCTTACTTCACAGGTTGAACACGGAACTTAATTCACATTCCAAATGTACACTTCAGTTGTGGGGAAAAAATCTTGTTGGTAAAAACACAAATCGCTGAGTCCAACAAGCATTTCTTCTTCAAGTTTTTTTCTCTCACCTTACAGCCCATGCTGGACTAGAACTCACAGTGTAGCCCAGGTTGACTCCCAACTCTCAATCTTCTGGACCCCTCCGGGTGTGGGCCATCACACCTGACTCTGACAGGTACTCTTTAATGCAGACTGGCGGTGTGCACAGGACTGGTCTAGAAGACAGGTGGCAGTTAGCTGGGCATGGTTAGCCTTCTAGAAGTAACGTGTAATGCAGGAGGCATCAGTGGGACTAGATTGTTAGGATGGCATCAATGGGGCACAGAGGAGTGAGAAAATGCCAGTGGGCAGTAAAGGTGAGCAAGTCCCAGAAGCTTGGGGTTAAAGGGGTAAGCCGACTCAGAGTCTGGCATCACTGGTCAGAGAAAGGCTATAAGGAGACGGTGACAGTGAAGCCCTTGGGTGTCAGCTCAAAGGGGGGGGGGTGTGTTTGAATGAGCAAGTGATAGACAGCCTGCTTGGATTTAGCCTCTTGGCAGCAAGGGGGCGGGGTTGGGTTAGAGTTCCAAAGCAAAAATCATAGGTCCTCCCTAGGAGACTGCTCCAGTAATTCCACTAAGATGGAAACCAAGAGGAAGTAGAAGGTATTGAGTGGAGCAATAGACAGACAGGAACCTGGGTTATGGAGATGGAAGAGGTTGAGCTCAGCCCAGGACATGTGATTCTCAGATGTGCCACTGTGTTGGGAAGGTGGCCATGTGCCCAGTGGAAAGCTTAGAATGGAAAGATGCACTACAGAGTCGCCCAACAGAGCATCTATAATGGCCAGAGGCTAGGTGAGGGAGGGCAAAGAGGGCTGTGGATGGCAACAGAGGGATAGAAGGGCAAACTTTAAGAAAGGATACACAGAGAGGAGGGGACAGAGTCTAAGATGTTGCCTTGAGGTGTTGCATGTATAGAGCAGGCAGGAAAGATGGCGTGGACATTCCACTTTTCTGAGTGCCATACATTACATGTAGGAAGAGTGCAGAGCAGTGCCAGTATCACCTCTGTGGGTTATGGTTGTGGTCCTGTGAACTGTGTTCATTGTGGTCTGCAACTCTGCCTTTCCAGAAATGAGTGAGCTTGGTCGGGTTAGCTGGCCCTTAAAGACATCCCCACCTGTTAGCCACATTCTGTGCGATAACTGAGGGTGTGGTAAGAGTCCCAGGGATAGGGCGCTTCTCATAGGCAGGCCCCTCCTGTCTACCTGCATTGCCCTTTTCCTCCCAAGCCTGGTGTATGCAGCATATGCAAAAAAGATGTCCCCGGCTTATCAGAGGAATCCACAAGTCCCCTGGATTAACCCTGGTGCTTAAATGGCCCTGCTTTGATTTAGGAAGCCTGTTTTCAGACAAGCACTCATGTCCAGTGAGTTTACACTCATCTTGGGAGTTATATGAGAGGTTGGACATACACATGACTGGGTTCTTTTAATAACATTTTCCTAGAGGGTCTCCCTGGCAGCCCCGCCTCAGCCTTGTTTGCCATGCTTTGCCCCAGCTTGAACCAGCCAATGCTGGGCCTCATGAAGGACAGCTGTTCTACAAAACAAACCACAGGTACGGGGCACATGGTCCCACTGGATCTGACCTATATCTCTTTCAAATGACCTTGTAGAGCTTGCTGGCCTGGTCGCCACCACCCAGCAAGCCTCCTGCCTCCCAGCTTCTGCTCTTCCTGCTGGCTGACAGCTGAGCTTTTATCCCAGGAGCCTCTGACTCTGTGTAGGAGGAGGATTCCCATGGAAACCCCAGGAGGAGGGAGGCTGGGGAAGCCTCATTGATTGAGCTCTAGGAAGATGGGACCGGCAGGAGTCAGGAGTCAGCCCCACCTGGACTGGACAGATGGCCGCTTTTGTGAGTGCTGGGAGAGAAAGGCTGGCCTGGCCAGTGTGGAGTGAGCTCCCTGTGTGTATTATGGGAAAATCTAATGGACATCTGTGATTAAAGCCCTAGGGGTTCCTTAGTTTATTCACTGTTGGTAGGTTCATTCTGAGTGATCATCTTTCAATAAAATACCCATCCAATTTAGTGTTTGTAGCAAGTAAAGCTTACAAACAGCCCATAGGCTCTCGGACCAGGCAGGACTCATTAGCCCTGAGTAGCTGTTTGGAAGAGTCTGAGGCAGCATGTATTCCCACTGCAGCTCCCAAGTCATTCACTCAACCTTTTCTCTATACCAGACCCTTGTGGATGAAGTCCCGGGAACTCAATTTGGGAAACTCAGCCCCTGTTGTCCAGAGGTGTTCCAG